ACATACATATTACAAGGCCGGAAACAGACAGTAGCCACTTGACGTTGATTCAGTGACCACTTTTATATTTACATACGCTCATAAACAATATATATATATATATATATATATATATATATATATATATATATATATATATATATATATTCCGCTTACTTGCTTTTCTGATAACTACAATCTTCAAACATTTAAATGCAACGTCAATCGCTATCTTCTGGTTGATGTCTTGAACCCGTTCATCTTTTATCGTTTACTCAATCACCCCTATACCCAGTCTTTTCTTTCATTTTCACTCTCTGTAACCCCTTGCGTACTAGTGGCACTCCAGCCTTGCTTACAGTGAAATGATTATATTATATATATATATATATATATATATATATATATATATGAAATCCCTAAATGAAAAGAATAATCCTAGTAGGTCTTTTTAATATTTTTCCTTACAGTGAAATGATTATATATATATATATATAGATATAGATATAAATCTGAAATCCCTAAATGGAAAGAATAATCCTAGTAGGTATTTCTAATATTTTTGCTTACAGTGAAATGATTATATATATATATATATATATATATATATATATATATATATATATATATATATATATGAAATCCCTAAATGGAAAGGATAATTCTAGTAGGTCTTTTTAATATAAAATGCTAAAAAAATAGATCCATAAAGAGAGCTCAATGTATTGTATTCAATGCAATATGATATACATAGAAGGAAAAAAAATAACAGTTTAAAAAAAAAACCGGATTTTTCAAGATTGTGTTAATTTTTTCCTTTGATATATATATATATATATATATATATATATGTTCATGCACTATATATAAATATATATATGGAGAGAGAGTGCATGAACGTGTCCAGCAAAGTGTTGCTGTTAGCTATGATTCCTTCTTTTATGTGAGTGTAAGTTCAAGGCGTGGACACTGACCACCTTCCCTGACCCCTATCTGGTGCTTTTACATCGAAAAGTGTGTACTCTGTGTATCAGAAAGAGTTGGCATGTTAAATTTTTAGGTTCATCCCCTTCCCATATTTCTTCCTTATAGTTAACTCTTACTTCTTGCTTCGTCTAGATTTACGGACGTGAATTCTACTCTATATAGGGGTTGAAAAGACAGACGCCCACGTCAGTCATGTATCGAAAGATACATGATCGCCTAAGCGTGTATCACGCATGGTACATGGTGATTTTTCAAGTATAGCTTAGATGTGGCACAAGGCCGAAAGTAAGCGGCACCTAGTGAGGATCGAACTCACTACTTAATCGTAATCTTTCTAGCGAGACAAGCTTGTTAACCATTTCACCGCCTCGAGGTCCCTCATCACGCATCGCACATAACTGAAATCATTATTATCTAAAAGAAAAAGCTTCTTGCTATCTCAAAATATTTTCTGGCTATGTAAAAATTATTTGCTAAGGTGTAAAATCGAAAAAAAATCTGATCGTTCCTTTTATTTGGGTTGATCAATAATCAAGCATTTTTCTTGAGTCATGAATAATAAAATCTGAGTTTCTGCTACGCGGCTTAAAGAGCGAACTCGCAGTTACTATGGACTAAATTCCAAAAGAAAAGCATTATTTCTCACGACCAATTAGATACGTGGAGAAAGAAAAATATCTAAAAAAAATCATTTTACTACGCAACAAACAAACAAGACAGAGATCGTTATTGCCCTGAAAAATTTTTTCTAATTTCATTTCATATTTGCAAACAATTTTCAATAATGTCGTCTAAATCCCGTGGGTGGAATTTTACTACGCCTGTTTTTGGAAATAACATTTTCAAATTTATTGAAAAAATGTTTGAACAAAGTAATTATAAACAAATTTTTTTTTCTATCCTTTGCTCAGAATTTTCCTGTCAATGAATGGAGAGAGCATTACCTAGCACCATCGTCAGTCAGACATGCTGTTAAATGGTGCCACTCCATTTGCCAGCCGAGGCTCTTTCCCTTAATCGAGAGACAATCCCGCCAATTCTCCGAAGGAACGTCCATTGAACGAGGGCCAATAATCTCCGAAGAAGTCTCCACTGCTACAGGAGTAAAAAAAAAATCTATCAGGAAGAGAAGAATATTTAACAACTTTTTTTTTTATCTCCGCGTCTCGAGAAACAGACCCCGGCTCAACCGCGGACCTGATCAAATTACCGGTCGAAAATGTATCAGTACAGGTCGCATTCCAAATCAACGACTTAGTGTAAAAGAATGAGAGAAAAAGAACACTATTAAGTAGAGAGGGCAATAAAAACAGGAATTAAAATGACAAAAGATAACAATTGCATTTAAATTAAGATCAAATTTGAATGGAAAGCAAGAAATCAGAAGAGAGTTTTGCAAATGAGAATTTCAAGAAACAGTCAACATAGAACTTACGGTTAGATGTAGCTATTTCGACTGTAAAATGATAACACTTAGCTCCTAATATACTACTGCGTTTAAATTCGTAAAGTTTAGGTACCAAAAAGAAAAGCTCATCTAAAAAATTACTAAGAGTATATTCATAGAAAAGTCACAGGAGAGCTGTCTTACAGTCGCCGGAAAGTGACTGTAGCCGAGAAGCCATATTAATATCTATTATATTGTAGATTCTTCTTTAGATTTTATCAAGAATCTCTAAATACATAGCAGAAGCATCAGACAAGATGTGACAACAATATTCGAAATTTGGACGAATGGTAGATCTGTAAATGTCTAAGACAGACTCTGATCCTAAAAGGCTCTAAGTACATTTTTGTGAAATGAGAGAAATAATTTAAAGACAAAAAAGGGAAAAAACAACAAAAAAAAAAAAAAAAAAAAAAAACGTAGTAACAGCCATATATCTCAATCTAATTCTAACCTCACAAAATGCTTTTGAATAAGAATATTGTCTACGTCCTCTTAAAATGCTCATTTAAAAAACGGATAAACATGTAAAAAAAAGGGCGTATAGCGACTTACGTTCTTTTAGAATCACGTCGATGTCCCGAGAAATGTACAACGCAACGAGAATAGTTTTCCCTCGTAGATTCAATAAAGTGTTAATTTAAAAATTTCCTGAAGATTGATCGGATCGGCAGGCACCTGAAATAGAATAATAGGCGCATTGGCAAAAATATTGTTTTAATAACAACAAAGATGAGGATATTAGTCCAACTATAAATGTATGTATGTATAACTCGCCACTCATATTCGAGAATACTCGTCTACTAGGGCAGCTAGCCAATCCCTATTGCAGACGCTTGCTCGGGCGCATTTGTGTTTATTCAACAACCACAGAGCCCAGCTGTGGTTTATACTTCTACTATGCTGGGCAGACCTTAGTTACAGTTTCTGGGAAAGAGCATGTTATCTAGCGTGATCAATAATTTGAACAAGGTGAGAACAATCAAGCCCTCGGCCACGATGACTTGTGACTTCGTGCTAGCACAGCTATCAACAGCCCCCAAGGGTTCCGACTACCCAGTTTCAGTCACAACCCGTGGTATTGTTTTCAGGCACTTTCCAAAGGTTCTACAGGCTGGGATTGACCCTCCAGTCTGATAACATCAAGAAGTTTCCTTCGTGACAAATCGACCATAGTGTGATTCGAACCCGGGTCTCATGGTTAGAATGCGAACGTTCTAACCATTCGGCCACGTGCCCAACTGTAAATAATGTAAATGTTAACTCCTCGTCCCGGAAATTCAGTCAAATAATTCGTATCGTTGCAATACTGAAATTATTTTGATTGTTATAATCATTTTATCCTAAGCAAGGCAACAAAGCCACTAAGACAGAAGGGGATTACTGAGAATGAGAAAATATCAGAAAAAGAAAAGCATTATTAATGAGAGAGAACAAAAAAAAACAGGAATTAAGAAAACAGAAGATAATAGCTGACATTAAATTTAAATTTTTGAAGATCAAAGTTGACTGGAAAGCAAGAAGCCGAAAAAGAGTTCCACCAGCGAGAAGTGCGAGAGAATAAACTATTTAGCATACAACGTCTGGTTGCATCCGGCCATTTCCACTGAAAAATGATGATAACAAGGAGGATTTAACGAGGTGCTTGGTTTTAATGTTATAGCGTGTTCTTTAGTCGTTTGTTCGCCTTTGTCAGAAGAAACTAATTTGTTTTTTTTTTTTTCATTCTTCGCAAGTATTTCTTCGTTAACATTTCATTGGAAGCCTTAATGATGCGTGATTGAAGAGTCACCAGAAATCCATTAGTTCCAGTGACTGCTGAACGTTCCTATTCTTCTGGGACTGTAGGCATTGGTCATTTCTGCTGATGTCATTTCTTTTCCATTTATTCACGTGGTCGGAAACACGACATGCAAATACATTGAACTCCATTTTTTTCCCTTTTCTGTTTACTTTCTTTTTTTTCCCCTTTTTCTCCGTGATTCTGCCGTTTGTCGTTAAGCTTTATTACAATTTAATTTTTTTAGCTAAAAACCCACAAAGTAAGGTTTTATCTTGAGAACATATCTAATTTATTCTTTTATGTTTTTTCTCAGTATCATTTATTCATATACTTCCGTAATGGAGGAAGAAATCTATATCAGATAGATATTTATATCGGTAATTGGAAAGCCAAACTCATTTGTCTGTCTTGAAGCCTTTTATAAACCCAACGCTACTAAATTCAGAGTTCCGCTGATTCTAATTTTTGTGTCTATTTTTAAAATTAAGCAGAGTTAATTTCGCTACTAATAAAAGATTGATTGATTGATTAATTTTCTACGGCTTATCAACCTTTTGCAGGTTATTTAAAGCCAGAAAATATTTTTAGATTATCAGAACTTTTTTTGAGATAATAATGATTTAGTAATACAAGTATTACTAATTAACCCATAGCTGGGAGAAGGACAAGAGAAGAGGTGGATCCATGCATTTCCAAAGGGTTTTTGCGCGTAAGTAAATATAACGAACTCAACGGGAATTGGAACTCGGCTCTCCGATTAAAAATTCTGAGCTATTACTCATTACACCAACCGCACATCTAAGTTTACAGCACCTGGTATTCCCAAGCGGTCACCTATCAAGGTAATGACCAGGTTCTAAGTTGCTTAACTTCAGTGGCCGTACGGGAACCGATGATTGAATGTGATGTGACCGTAAGCCTACTAATAAAAGAAATTCAGTTAAAGATTCAGTAGACCTGGGCTATCAGATGTAACACAATTTGGCAACCCTGTTTTTTAAATCATTATTTGACTAAGAGACAATTGGATATTAAATCGGGGATCAGTTTTGCTTCATAAACATATCCTCAATTTTTTTGCCATGCTAGATTACATCCGTTTCTTACTCTACACAACAAAGTTGTAGGAAGGATTGTGGGTTACTTTGAAAAGCCCATCGATACTAAATGGGAGAAACAACATTTTTAAAATAAGTTGGGATAACTTGAATTAATAATGAGAAGAAATCAGTTACATCTATGTGTTTATGCCGACAACACAAACTTTACTCCTGTCTTAGTAGCAGTCGAAAACGGGTTCTATGTGTTTATGCCGACAACAAACTGTATTTAGGCCCCATCTGTCTGGTTGCATCCTGTCTTAGGCCCCGACGGGTTCTATGATTTTAACCGACAACACAATTTTACTCCTGTCTTAGTTTTAAGGCCCCGACGGGTTCTTTAGTGTTTATGTTTTTGTCGAAAAGACAACTTTACTCCTGTCTTTTAGCAGGCCCCGACGGGTTCTGTGTTTTACGCCGACAACACAACTTTACTTCCTGTCTTAGTAGCAGGCCCCGACGGGTTCTATGTGTTTATGCCGACAACACAACTTTTTACTTCTGTTTTTCTTAGTAGTAGGCCCCGACGGGTTCTATGTTTTTATGCCGAAAACACAATTTTACTCCTGTCTTAGTAGCAGGCCCCGACGGGTTCTATGTTTTATGCCGACAACACAATTTTACTCCTGTCTTTAGCAGGCCCCGACGGGTTCTATGTTTTTATGCCGACAACACAACTTTACTCCTGTCTTTGTCTATGTTTTTATGCCGACAACACAACTTTTACTCCTTCTTATGGGACGGGTTTTATGTTTTTAGCGACAACACAAAACTTTACTCCTGTCTTTAGCAGGAGACGGGTTCTATGTGTTTTATGCTTTTTTACAACACAAGTATCTGTGTTTTTATTCATATGCTTAGTAGCAGGCCCCGACGGGTTCTATGTGTTTATGCCGACAACACAACTTTACCCCACATAGATAACGGGTTCAGTGTTTTTATGCCGACAACACAACTTTGTCCTGTCTTAGTAGCAGGCCCCGATGGGTTCTATGTTTTTATGCCGACAACACAACTTTACTCCTGTCTTAGTAGCAGGCCCCGACGGGTTTATGTGTTTTATGCCGACAACACAAAACTCCTGTCTTAGTAGCAGGCCCCAAAAGGTTCTATGTGTTTATGCCGACAACACAACTTTTGTCTTAGTAGCAGGCCCCGACGTGTTCAACAACTTTATTTTGCTCCTGTCTTAGTAGCAGGCCCCGACGGGTTCTATGTTTTTATGCCGACAACACAACTTTTCCCCTGTCTTTTAAACGGGTTCTATGTTTTTATGCCGACAACACAACTTTACTCCTGTCTTAGTAGCAGGCCCCGACGGGTTCTGCCGTCTTTACTCCTGTCTTAGCAGGGGCCCCGACGGGTTCTATGTTTTATGCCGACAACACAACTTTACTCCTGTCTTAGTAGCAGGCCCCGACGGGTTCTATTTTTTATGCCGACAACACTCTTTACTCCTGTCTTAGTAGCAGGCCCCGACGGGTTCTATGTTTTTATGCCGACAACACAACCTCCTGTCTTAGTAGCAGGCCCCCGACGGGTTCTATGTTTTTATGCCGACAACACAACTTTACTCCTGTCTTAGTAGCAGGCCCCGACGGGTTCTATGTGTTTATGCCGACAACACAACTTTACTCCTGTCTTGGAAGTTCTATGTTTTTATGCCGACAACACAACTTTACTCCCCCTGTCTTAGTAGCAGGCCCCGACGGGTTCTATGTGTTTATGCCGACAACACAACTTTACTCCTGTCTTAGTAGCAGGCCCCGACGGGTTCTTGTTTTTTATGCCGACAACACAACTTTACTCCCTGTCTTAGTAGGGAGCCGACCCCGACAGGTTCTATGTTTTATGCAGGTTATGTTTTTATGTCGAGTCTTAGTAGCAGGCCCCGATGGGTTCTATGTTTTTATGCCGACAACACAATTTTTACTCCTGTCTTAGTAGCAGGCCCAACGGGTTCTATGTGTTTATGCCGACAAACACTCCTGTCTTAGTAGCAGGCCCTGATGGGTTCTATGTTTTTTAGCACAACCTCCCTTAGTAGCAGGGCCCCGACGGGTTCTATGTGTTTATGCCGACAACACAACTTTACTCCTGTCTTAGTAGCAGGCCCCGACGTGTTCTATGTGTTTATGCCGACAACACAACTTTACTCCTGTCTTAGTAGTTCTATTTGTTTTAGGCCCCTGACGGGTTCTATGTGTTTATGCCGACAACACAACTTTACTCCTGTCTTAGTAGCAGGCCCCGACGGGTTCTATGTTTTATGCCGACAACACAACTTTACTCCTGTCTTAGTAGCAGGCCCCGACGGGTTCTATGTGTTTATGCCGACAACACAACTTTACTCCTGTCTTAGTAGCAGGCCCCGACGGGTTCTATGTTTTATGCCGACAACACAAACTTTACTCCTGTCTTAGTAGAAGGCCCGATGTGTTTTCGACAAAGCAGCAGGCCCTGAGTGTTCTATGTGTTTTTATGGAAACTCCTGTCTTAGTAGCTGGGCCCAAGGTTCAGTGGTTTAACCGACAACACAACTTTACTCCTGTCAATGGCCCTTGTTAGTCTCAAAAACAATTCATTTTAATCACTGTCTTAAAATCTTTTTCTCTCTGTCAGCAGGCCCCAACTTGGCTAATGTCTAAACTCTATGCCGACAACACAACTTTACTCCTGAGAGCACGGGTTCTTTTGCCTGTCTTTAGCAGGCCCCGACGGGTTCTATGTTTTCAACCAACTTTACTCCTGTCGTGAAGTGTAAGACAGGTTGTTTTTACGTTTACTCCTGTCTTGCTTAGCAGGCCCCCCGACTCTCCTCCGTATTCTATGTGTTTTGAACACTTTACTCCTGTGTCTAAATCAGGCCCATTCCTCCGTGCAATGAATATTGACAGACATGTCTCGTGTTCTATGTGTGCTTTCTTGTCTTATATACGTGTTCTATGTGTTTATGCCGACAAGACTTTTCCTCGACAAAATCCAAAGATCTTGTCTTACCTGGTATCTCGACTTCAACTTTACCCTGTCTTTAGCAGGCCCGACCAAAGTTAAAACTGCCTGTAACGGATCTCAAGCCTTCTGTCTTTCATTTTCTACAGATATTTTCTTGGGTGATGTTTTCAACCGGCGTGTTCTGATGAGCTTCCCTTCTTCACAGGACATCTTGAACATGGATTTAAGCGTGCAACTACATTGACAATTAGGTATCATAGTTCTAATGTTGAAATAGCTAGATTGAACCGTATGTTCTATTCTAATAGTTTCTTTTCTCGCACTTCTCGTCTGTGGGATTCTTTTCCGGTTTCTTATTCTCTTGCCACTTCCAAATTTTTTTTTCTTTAAGCATTTCACCCCAAGCAACGCGGGAGTGCCACTAGCACGCAAGGGGGTACAGAGGTTACAGAAGAGTGAAGAAGTGTGTTTGGAGAGAGGATCATGGTATCAGATGTGGATTGACAATACTAATTGAATATTTGAAGATTATAGTTATCAGGGAAGCAAGTAAGGGGAAGGGAGTTCCACAGACGTGAAGTGCGAGAGAAGAAGATGTTTGAGTAAAAGAGACGGTTATATTTAACCGTTTCGACAGTGAAAGGGTGGGACCGAGATGTCAACCTAGTAGCTCGCTTAAATCTATGCTGTCTGTGAACCAGAGAAAGCAACTTGTCGGAACAGTTACCGTGAAAATACTTATAGAATCTTCAGAAATTTAAATGCACTGCCAATCGTCATCTTCTATCTTCCTTTGTTGTCTTTTCTCCTCATTGAAATTTTCTCGTTCTCTTTCACTCCCAGCAACCCCTTGCGTCTTAGTGGCATTATCGCTTTGTTTGGGGTAAGATGTTTTTAAAAAAATCCATTTTCCAATTTAATAATGTTAGATTTTCAAATGTAACCCGATTTGCTAATCTATAGCCCGATTTGGTTGTTTTGTTTTTAGATCTGAAATATTTGACTAACAGAAAACTAGATATTAAATTGCTTTTAACAGTTTATCATCAGATACCCTACACTATGCCAGAGGAGATTACATACATTTCTCAACCCTAGAAAACGTTGTGGGCTACTTTTGAAAATCTATCTAATGTTGAATTTCGCTTCTTACGACTTTTGGAGATGACGTTTAAAATAAACTGAACAAACTTGAGCTGATATTTAGAAGAAATTCAATTCAATATTTTATAACATTAAGGCTTTCAATTCACTGGGAAAAGCGTAGAACGGTGCTGCCAGAAGAGATTCAGAAACACAAGTTGGAAGGCCGAATTGGATTTCTACGTGTAAAAGACAGAAACAATCAAATTTGGATTCCAGATATAATTACCTTGAAATGAACAAATTATTCCAGAGAACCCCATTCCAAATCTTATTGGGAAAAGTCAATCACCCAACATCATTTCTAAAATGGGAGGATTATTACTGACTCTGAAGCAGTAAGGAGAATAGCCAGTGGGGGTGGGTAACGATTTTCAGTGCAGGAAGTCGATTCATCGAACCGAGTTCAAATTCTAACCCAGTCTGTTACGTCCACTTTGCATTATTGGCCTTTATATAAAAAAAAACAAAAAAACACATTAGTCCTTTTCTTCTCAACATTTTAAGTTTGGACTTTTTTTTAAGATTAAAGAGGATTAAGTTATGGTGACTTCTTTTTTTATAAGAGCTGAAGTAACTGGGGAATTTGTAATCAGATTTCTAGTCATTTTCTGGCAGTCCTTAAAAGGGAGAGTTTTATGGTCCCTATTTAGGACAGGATGGGCTGGTTTTAGCTGATCTGTTTCTCTGATATCACATCAGCAAATGTTTCCTGCTA